TTGTCCAGATACCGTACACACTCTACGGAACGTCTGGCAAAAACATTTTAAAACATCACCATGCTGCAGGGTGGACAAAAATGATCTGGCACGTGTCGTGACGGAGTACTGCAAGATCCGACCGTGTCCGTTCAGTGGCTCGCTGAGCTGCATTGACATCCGGTTGCCGAACGAGTACATTGCAAAGTCGCGCTCATGATACACTCACAAAGTGCTCGCCGCAAATGAACCACAGTACCTTGCTGATCTCGTCAAGGGCTATGAACCATCACGCGATCTCCGGTCATCCTCGCAGCGGCTTTTGGCTAGCCATGGGACAAAAGAGAGTCAGCCCTTCTGCGGGCGTCTCGAACGCTTTTCCTCCCGATCTCAGGAAGCCACTGGAGCTATGCACTTTTACATCTAGATTGAAAACTCACTTCTCGATAGCTGCTTTTTTTCGTGTTCAGTTTGTCGTCCGTCGCCCAGCACGGTTTGCGACGTACGGCGCGAAAGAAGTTCAACACACAGTCCATGCACACCAGCCATCCCACGGCCCACACGGGCATCGCTTGACCCCCCCAAGACACGGACGGCTGGGTTTGCGCCCTGCTCCTTGATCAGCGATGACGTGAGCCCCATCTCTCTCTCTGTCGTCTGGCCTCCAGCTCTCGGTGGGTGGCGCGCGCGCCTGGGGTAAACATTGACGGGCGTTCGGTAAATAAAGCCCCCCCCCCCCACCATCCCATACGGGGCCTGACCAGACACGCGGCAATTGCTGTTGTCTGGAGAACGTAATCGTCAATACGCGTCAAGGTGAAAGGTCTGGAAGCCACGAGGCATCGTGGGGAACTAGCCCCCCCCCCCTCTCTTTCTCCACCAGCAATACTTTTCAAGCAACGTCAGAATGCATAAACACCAGCTTGTACTGGTAGGAACCTCCTGGTTACACCAGCCCACAGGGGATTGTTGTGTCCGTTTGTCCGTCGTGCACCCAAAAATGGGAGGGTTGGGGCTGCGTGGAGAGGGGCTGGGTGGGGAGGGTGGGGCTGGGTGGGGGGTGGGAGGGGTGGGGCTGAGTGGGGAGGGGCTGGTCACCCCGTGGTGCCCTTATAAACCTCAACGTTTAACCTACTCACGCCGGCTTGTGCCCGCTCTCACAGTCGGCCATATTTGCGAAATACACCACGCCGCCGTTGACCCTGGCCATTGACCGAGGAACCCAACGTTCCTACCAGCTCCCTCCGCAGGAATGTGTTAAATGTGCAAGTGTACACACCCCCCCCCACCACTTCCGTTTGCCAATCCACTGCTGGATGACGGCCGCCCCACGCCCTCGCGGCTCGTGCTGAGTAACTATACTTCACCACACTGGGCAGTGCGGGCTGATAAACCCCGGGCAGCATGGGCGTGGGTGCATAGAAATACAGTGCAACCGTGGATTTGTTGTGTCTACATCGCCATCTGCCGGCTACAGCACAGCTCCCACAGCTCAACGCGTGGTGGCCGCCAACCTTCACGCTATGCAGGCTCGAGGCTGCTTAGCTTAGCGTCCGAGATTTGATGACGCCGGGATATTTCATTCATAATCAACGTTTTTGGGTTAGATCGCGTTATTTATAAATGTGTCGTAACCCTCCACCACCCGACACAGCTTTCCTTAGAGCCTAGTCTCACATGGTGTTGTCTCGGGTGTGGACCAAGCTGTCTCGGGTGTGGACCAACTTCAAGGACAGTGCATACATTATCAGAGTTATGTTTTTTGTTTACATTATGACTGCAGGTATTGTGGTCTATGCAAACATGACTCCATGTAAAAAATGTGTCAGTTTTGTTGCCAGATAAAAGAGTAAAAAAACAAATTATCAAAATACAAATAGTTCACTACTTTAGCCAACTGGTGTGTTGAAGCGTGAAACCACAACATTTACAATTTTTGAGTAGTACGACGTTTCGCTGGTAATTGCATCCAGCATCATCGGGCAATTCGCATAACCCAAAAAAGTTGATTATGAATAATATTGGTCGCGAAAGCCTACGTGTTAAACGGGCTATTTCAGTATGAATTGGCCGTATTTGGCCGCCGTACGTTTTCACGCGGCAAGCCACTTCGTTGAGATCTCATTTGTGGCCTGGTCTCTTCTGAAAAAGAGCTAAGTGGCTCGCGGGGCCTGACCTGGTGTAAAACAAATATGTAAACAGTTTAGTTTTTAGAATGCTGCATGCTGTGCTCTTGGACGTACACACGCTTGACACGGTTCAGACGCCTGGAAACAGCGAGGGGAAACACAGTGCACGAGCATGGCAATGCCTCTCAACAGCTTTCGGCGCGCCTATTGTTGCAGGGCGCAGCGATGGCTTTTTTTAAACATATAAGGCGCCGTGAGGAGCGGTGGGACGGCGAGGGGGTCTTAAACTCCCGCCCCTCACCCCGTCTGTCTCTCTCTCTCTGTGTGCGACGACGTGAAGCCACGAGCGGGGTTGCTGCCAAAGAGATGGGAGGGGGCCAGTGGGGAAGGTGGTGGAAACCGTTACAGGTGGGGCCCTACATCGGTCGCCATCAGTGTGGTTGGTGGTCGGTCAAATAATGCGGTGGCCATGGAAATATCTTTCTGCAGATGGACGTGGCTGCAATAGTGGGGGGTGGGGGGGGGCACCTTGTCCTGGTATTTTTCTCTCTCCTAAGATCATCCTCTTGTTTGTTGAGGTCAGTGCCGGATTATCCTAGCCGCTAAAGTAGCTACATATGCTACGGGCCCCGCACGTTCCAGAGCCCCGCGCTAAATGCTTTCAAGCTATCAATTCCGGTTCAGTGATTCTGCACTTGCTCTATTTATATAGCACTATACTGCTTCCAACTTTTATGAACGACTGCGTTTTTAAGGCTAACGATTTGTCGTATTATCTGGCTGTATAGCGAATTTTAAAATACAATTACTTTACTATGCAAGTAAAAAAATGTGTGTTTAAATATTTACGTGTTTTTTTTTTACGTAGGGTCCCGTTATAACATGTGCTACAGGCCCCGCACTAGCTTAATCCGGCACTGGTGGAGGTAGCTGCTGTCCTGGGGCATCTAAAAGTATTCCTAGGACATTGCATCCTGAGCTTTGTTTTCAGTTGGATAGTAATGATAATGATGGTGATTATACACCAGCCAAGAGAATGTATTTACATGCCGTTTTCACTCTTATGGTTCAGTGAGATAGTATTTTTTTTGCTAGATATGTCCCGTTTTTTTTTTGTGTGTGCCTTAAGAGGTGGCAACCCGATCTGGCAGCTACACTAAATTCTCGTGACACTGATGGGCAATTGTAAGGTAAATATTTCCCAACGATTAACACTGGCAATGGTTTCGACTAGGGGCTGTTACGATGTATCGACGTATCGATTGGTATTGATTAAGCTCGCGACACCCGACATCATAAGTGCAATGAGTAAGAAACCAAGTTTGCTTTTCTTCGTTGTTGTATGCAATGGGTTTATGTGCAATACGGTGCAACATGGGCTCGCGTTGCGTCTAAATACAATGACATCTCAAGAAGATGTCATGCAACCCCATAAAAAAGAAGGGCAGGAAACAAAACGTTCTATACAAACGGCCCTCTGGGAGTGCGTAACCTCAGCACTTCAATCAATCAATCAAAGTGTATTGGTCACATACACAGTTAAGCTGATGTTATAGCGGTTTCAGAAACATTATTGAGTTTTCAGCGCCACAACATTGCAATAGAATGTCTAACAAATCAACAACAACACCAATTAGAAAGGCAAATAAAAAAATCACGAAATATCAACACACGGGAATCTCTGGACCGTCCAGAATTGTGCCGTGAACGTGACACCCCTACCCCGTAAACATGGAACGTTGGAGAAACGTTGTGCCAGTGTTGTTTCAACGGTTCCAACCACAAGCCAACGTTAGCCCAACGTTGCGTGTTGACTGCGTGGTTGAATTTGATGGTGATGATGATGGCTTGCTAGGGACACCTATTGGACTGATGCTTGAAGTACAATATATATTTAAAAAAAATAATCTTCACAATCAAAATACGTTTGGTGTACGCCTATTGAAAACACGTTCGCCGGTTTATTCTGATTTCACCTTGAGAACCAAAAGTGAAACAAGGATGAGCGCCTGCCAACATGGCCACGGTGGCGAGACGGTGCATTGGCTGAGCCATCGATTACTACCGCGCAGGCGGTGCAACTGCACAGGCACCCAAGGAGCCGGGCTGAGGGTGAGGGAGGCATGCGGTGGACTACGGAGAGGAAGGGAATTTTGGAGAGGGGTCCTCATTGAATTCCTCGCACCGGGGGCCCCATGCCAACCCGGCAACGGTACTGAGGGACCATCAAAGAGAAGCGTAATTAAACTTCAATAGCAATGTCCCACGGGGGGCTCACCGCTCTGTGTGCCAGTGTATCACACACTCCAATGCACCCAATGTTATTCGGTTGTCCTGGAAACTTCGTGCGATTCGAAGTCCGTGTGCCCGCTACCTATGCGCAGTTCTCCGCTCAGTCCGTTGGGCGCTTCGGGACTCGTTTTTTGTATACTCCTGTGAGGCGTGATATCGAGTACTGGACTGCAATGCAATTGTTTTATGGTTGTTATGTTGTTCTTTTGCCTAGGAATGCGTCACAGAGTCTCGTGACTTGTCTTCACGGGGGTCCTGCCAAGTTTTCGCAGTAGGAGGGGAATGATTTCCATGAATAATTCAAATTAAGTAAAAAATATTGATTTAGTTTTGTTGAATATACAAAATGTGAATCATGACGCCGGCACACAATGGCCTACTCTTATGAATGACGTAGGGGGATTTGTAACGTCCACTCGGAAGCAGATGGCACGTACCATCGTTACGGTTATTACACACACTGCGGTATTAATCGGGGGCGGCCGCTGGATTCGCACCTCTGCAACAACAACGAGCGGCGAATGCGCCGCCGCTGGGCTGCGTCACCGCCCACACGATGTCAGATGACGACGATGATGATGAGTCCTGATTATTCTGCAGGCCCACGAGCGGGAGCAGCAGCGAGGTGGACGTGGACGGGAGGACGGACGATGATGTCACCTCGTCCGAGTGCTCGTTAAGCTGCCCGTCCTCAGTGGGAGGTAGGGGCACACATCCGTTTCGTGGGGGCGGCGCACGCCGGCCTGTCATGAACACCCGGGTACAGAGAAAGCAGACATGGGTGACAGAAAACTTAGCACGTCTGTTTTTTTTGCAGCAGATATAAGGACTTGTAATTGAATCTTGCGGTGAGGCATAATTAATCACGATCGGGCAAAATGCATATTGCGAAAGCCTTCGCCTCGATGAAATAAGATACTCGCATAAAAAGGTCTCGTAAGATACCCTTCACGGCACAGATTAATTAAATTGTCACGGGGAAGCGGAAGCGTTTTAACTACGCGCTAATTATTGCTGTTTCCGCTCACCGGTAAGTTTAAGAACAATTCTCACAGCCAGATATAGAAAAATTGGATCATGCGACATTGCCCATGTAACGGTGTCATGCGCCTTCAGGTGAGACGCCAGAAATTCGAAACAATGATGAATCTATTCCTACTATTATTTTTGTTTTACCAGGCGAGGTATTTAACATCTCGCCACCGCGGTGCCAAACCATGGCTGTAGAACTCTTCCCGTGTGTTTGTCTCTTTGCCGTGCCTCTCTCGGTCTCAATCCATCTCACCGCGGACGCGGCAGTTGGAGAGGACAGGATGTCTCGCGCGGTGGAAGGGAGAGCATCCTCCGACGAGGAGGAAGGGACCCTGGCTCTGGTGCCCGGAGAAAACCCCTGTGCTGCGGGAAGGGGTAGGTGCTAGGGGTGAGGAGGGAAACACGCAGGTAAACGTGCAACGTTGTGCCAACGTTCGCATGCGGTTGGAAGTTTTTGGACCGTTTGCCCAACGTTGGCACGACGTTCCATGTTGCTGGGTCGTGAGCACGTGTGCACGTGTGCGTGAGATGGGCTAATTTCAGGATTCCATTTCGTCTGCGTTAACATAATTTCATTGCCATGATCATCATCATCATGCATAATTCACGAAGCTGTTTTCATCGAGTAACGTCCAAAAATGCATTTGCGTTTGCATATGTTAGGTGAAACGCGTAATAACACTGACAGTTAAGAGTGTAAAAAAAACGCAACATGCGTTTAACGGTCAAACCGTGCAATAAAAAAAAATCAACAATCCGAAACTGTGTCGATGCTTACGAGCGTCTCAACCTCGCCGCGTGTGGCAGGTGCGACGGTGCGATGCCCCGGCTCACCGGAACGGAGGACGGCTCGGCAGCGGGGTCGGCACAGGGCTCGTCACGGTCCGAGCTCCGGGAAAGATTGGGGAAGCTCCGCAACGATTTGGCGGACAAAGAGAGCGAATTAAAGGTAATGTGGAGGCACGTGGAGGCAGCGTCTGTGCTGAGCGTTTCAGCGAATATCTACGGGCCGCGCACACTCGCACACACCCACACCCATTTTCAATGTCAGTCATTAATTGTGAAATGTGAGGTTCATTGGAACTTTTCGATCAGTGAGAGGTTGATCATTCTCCCCGGCCGACCTCTCCCCTCTCATCTCATTCTACTCTCCTCCACGCTTTCCCCTACTCTCCTCTCGCTCTACTCCCCTCCACACACTCCCCTACTTCTCCCCTCTCATCTCACTCTACTCCCTCCACACTCCCCTACCTCTCCCCTCTCATCTCATTCTACTCTCCTCC